TCTTACAACTCTTACAAGCTGAAATGTTCTTCCTATGTTTCTTTAAAAATACCAAATTCGTGACTTAGCATTGTCTTGTCTGTTTTAATCAGTGTGACCTCACCTTTCTCTACCTCCGCTGCTGTGACCCTTCCCTTCTCCCCACCTGATCTCCTTACATCTTACTGCTGAAACATGGAGTGGGGGCAGGCAGTGAGAAGGTGGGTCTCTCTGTACCTTCTTTACTCTGTGCTTCCTAATGAGAAGCATAGACTTTATATTCAGAGCCCCTGAGCAAACATTTATTGACTATATTGTGCTGAGTTTCAGACTCTTCTCTTTCCCATTGACTGGCTTTTTAAAAAAAGTTACGTGGTTTTACCAGCGGAACTTTATTTCTCCTTGCTTCTGGCCAGTGTTGCCCTGGAAGCCTATTCTGAACACTGTGATCGTGATGGAGAATGTTTATTTTTACTTGGCCAATCATCACCATAAGCCTGCTTTTCTTTTTCTTTTCTTTTTTTTTTTTTTTTTTGAGGCAGAGTCTTGCTTTGTCGCCAGGTGCCAGGCTGGAGTGCAGTGCAGTGGTGTAATCTCGGCTCACTGCAATCTCCGCCTTGCGAGTTCAAGCAATTCTCCTGCCTCAGCCTCCCAAGTAGCTGGGACTACAGGCGCGTGCCACACGCCCAGCTAATTTTTGTACTTTTTAGTAGAGACGGGGTTTCACCATGTTGGCCAGGATGGTCTCAATCTCAACCTCGTGATCTGCCCGTCTCGGCCTCCCAAAGTGCTAGGATTACACGTGTGAGCCTCTGCGCCCAGCCTATTTTTTTTTCTTAATCACTTGTAGATTAGTTCTAGTCAACATTGTGAGTCTTATTAAGTAGTAAAGTAATGGAGTCCTGAATTGGGGTTGATAACCCTTGGGGTTTTAGTTAGTTAGTTTGTTTTGAGACAGCCTTGCTCTATCACTCAGGCTGAAGTGGTGCCTCGATCTTGGCTTACTATAGCCTCTGCCTTCCAGGTAGCTGGGACTATAGGCATGCGCCACCACGCCCAGCTAATTTTTGTATTTTTTGTAGAGACATGTTGCCCAGGCTGGCCCCTTGGTATGTATAACTGAAGAAAACCCCTTCAGTAGATTTAGATTGGCTTATCATCTTCAGATTGTTCTGTCATTTTTTGCACCACTAATTCCATGCTCCCATGTGTTTTTCCTTCTTTTTTTTTTTTTTCTGTTATAGAGTGAGCTTTTAAATGCAGAGAGCATGCCTTGCTCATCTTTGTACACTCAGTGCCCTGCACACTGCCCTGCACTCAGCAGCTGCCAGTTGCCTGTTTTGTGAAGATGTTGATTCAGTCATCTCCATTTCTTCCCCTTTAAACATACATGAGCACCCGTGCCTACTTGCAGGTGTGAACACGTGTACATTCTTAGAGCTGGAATATCTGTCCTAAAGCTGCCATACTGTGTGATTGGAATAGCACATGATGAGTTTCTTCATTCTGCTGCTTTCCCACTTATTCTTCAGTCTGGCATGAATGGAGAAAAGCTGGGTACCGATACTGAATCCCGTTTGTTCTCAGAGGATCTTAACCTTTTGTAACCAGTTTAATCTATGCAAGGCTATGGTATTTTCCAGAATTCATAGAGAGGAAGTGTCTTCCGATACCCAGGACATAAAAAAAATCTGGATTATCAGTTAGGTCTGTAACTCCTTCAGTAGTCAGCCAACTTAAATTTTCATACATATATTAACATAAATTTAGTAGAAATTATTTATTATAAATATATTGATATGTTTACTATATGTTTTTAACATAAATATGTATGTTGGACATTGATCAAAGTGAGATTATTTCAGTTATCAAGGAATTGCTTTATAATGGCCTTTTGGGACTTTATTGAATTCTCAAATAGTGATGTTATTTTCAAATACAGGTTACTAGTTATTATAGGTATGTTTTATGAATCACATGTTTTTGGATTAAAAAAACATTGTGGTTAAATTCTGAACTTTGGATATTCCAAGTTACCCCTTTTGTTTCTATTTATTTAGAGGAGTTTTTCCTATCAAATGGACTTTTTGAAAAAGAACTTTATGGAAAATTTGACACGTGTGCAAAAGTAGAGTAGTATACTGACTCCTTAGTGCCTGTTACTCAGTTTCAGCAATCAGTTCGTGACCAGTCTCATTTTACCTGCATACCGAGCCATTCCCCTACACCCTTCCCTGGATTATATCCAAGTAAATCCTGGATAGGATATTATTTCATCTGTAAATATCTCAGTGAGTATTTCTATAAAATGAGAGCTCTAAAACATAAACATGATGCCATTAGCACATCCGAAATAATTAATAATAATCTGTCAATATCTTCAAATATCCAGACTGTGTTTTCCCCTTTCCCCGCCTCTTTTTCAGACAGGGTCTCTCACCCACTCTGTCAACCAGGCTGGAGGTCAGTGGCATGATCATGGCTCACTGCAACCTTGAACTTCTAGCCTCTAGCAATTCTCCCATCTCAGCCTTCCAACCAGCTGAGACTGTAGGCACCTACCATTACATGTGGCTAATTTTTTTGTAGAGCTGACATCTCACTATGTTGCCCAGGCTGATCTTGAACTGTTGGCCACAAACAATCCTCCCACCTTGTCCTCCCAAAGTTTTGGGACAACAGACCTAAGCCACTGCACCCAGCCTGTGTTTTTTCCATTTCTTCCTTCTATCTGTTGCTCTTTTGCTTTGAGTGTGTGTATGTGAGTTCTGAAAGAAGCAGCCCATTTATTTTACAGTTTCTCACTGTCTAGTTTTTGTTGATAGCATCTTTAGTGTTGTTTAAAGTATTTTTCTTTTTTTATCAATATTTTCTACAAATTTGAGAGTTAGATTCTGAGAGATAATATGATTTTATCTGCACTAGATATACCCTTTGTTTTGGAAAATATTTTACTATTATAGAATCATTTGAGGAGAATGAATGCTCTGGGCAAGTAATACTCATACTACTATCCTGACTTTGGACCACAATCTCTTTTGCCCCGGTGAACAGGGTTAATTACTTGTTAGCTCTAAGGATTTGTTTAGGGTAGGAACAGTCCAAATAGGTTGCCTCAAGGCATCATATCAAAATTTTTTGCTTCCAATTTGCTGGGATGAGAATTTGTTAGAGCCACATATAAAGGCAGTAGGGAAAAGGCTTTATATGAAAGCTCAAGTTGCGCTTCTGTGAAGAAAGTGCATTTAAATTACTTTATGGATTTTGAGATTTTGAGTTGGGCTAAGCTCCATGCTTAAACCTAGCAGGATTTTGTGCAGTTTTGAAAAATTTAGATCTAAGAGTGTATGATAGAGAGGAGTTCTTTAATTGTTATTGTTAGTTTAGTTTGGAAACACTTTAGAAAGTGGTCAAATGAGAAGAGGGCTTTTGGTGGTATTAGAGTCTGACAGGTCATCTGAGTTTTGGGATTGGGAAAGAAACAAGGTATATATTCATTTTCCTTGAATCACAAACTTGGTGAGCTAACACAAACTTACCCTGCAGTTCTGGAGATCAGAAGTCTAAAATGGGTCTTACTGGGCTAAAATCAAACATATCATCAGGGCTGTGTTCCTTTCTGGAGGCATGAGGAGAATCTATTTTGTTGCCTTTTCCAGCTACTAGAAGCTGCTCAGATTTTTTGACTTGTGGCTCCTTCTACCTTCAAAGCCAAAGTGTTACATTATATCACTCTCAAATTGACTCTTCTGCTGCCCTTCTCTAACTTTAAGGATTCTTGTGATTACTTTGGGGCCACCGGAATAAGTCAGAATAGTCTCCCTATGTTCAAGTCAGTTGGTTAGCAACCTTAATTCCATGTACAACCTTAAATCCGTGTAATAGAACATACTTACAGGCTGCAGGGATTCGGATGTGGACATCTTTTGGGAGCCACTGTGTTGCCTGCCACACAAGGTGAACAAAATTAACAGAAGGCAGGTGTTGCTTTCTACAATCATGTAGTGCTTTTTGACTACCCTTGGGCATATACCTCCACTGGTCTTGAAGGGTCAGTATTGAAAGCTCATGGTGTTATGTAATGAGGTACTGATATTTATAATTTTATAACATTTACAGTTAGCTTTAGTTGACATAAATTGTAACTGAGTTAGTCTGATATGCCAACTCTAACTTTATGAAGTGTTTTCTTTCACCTTTCAACTTCTGTGTAGAAACATAAATTTTTCAAGATTTGGTTTTTCTATGAGTATGACCAAGAAGGAGGTAAACAGGACTTTCAGACTTTTTTCTTTCTTTAGACAGGTGATTATAATGTCTGTTATACAGGTCCCTGCCAGAAGTACTGCACATAACTTAAAAAATTGTGACTGTTGGGGTCCCGTTATTAATTAGCTTTGTTTATTTGGTGGTTACGCAGTAATGTCTTTTAACCTTTAGTATATGTTAGGCCATTTTGCCCTGTTGGTAACTGGCCTCTGGTTATGAATGGAGTGTAACAGAAAAGCAAAGCAATCATAGTGTGCAGCTAAACTACTAACCAGTCTTACTTTAGTTTAATTATTGCTCTGTGGTCCTTTCCCATTCAGGCACTCCCGGGTGTCATTTCTTTCTGGCATTCTGTAATTGCTCCCTCATTGCATCAGATACACTGCCGTAATTAATACATAATGTGTCTCGGTGAGGCTACACATCTATTTATTAGAGTTTACTGGTGTTTATACAGACAGTTTCTTTGATATTCAGTTGCCAGCCTTACATTTTTTCTTCATTTCTAAGTTCCCACTTGGGTTTCAGGTACCTGAGTATTTAAGCCTGCCTTCTGAATATGGTGAAGCCCTAATTGGAAAACAGTGGTTTTCTTTCGATTGTTTCCTCTGAAATATTTACCTTCTAGGTTTAGTAAATATTAATAGCAGTGCTTTATACATTTTCTTCATCAAGGAGACTGCGTCCTTTTGGTTTTGCTCTTATTTATATTTGTAATTTGTCGATTTTTAAAAAATTTTTCTCTTTTTTAGACTTTTACTGGTTGGTGGATGTGAAACTGCTGAAGTAGGTGTGTCAAAAGCTTCTAGCTGTGGCCTTTCTGCCTGGAGAGTTCTTTCAGGATCACCTTATTATAAGCAGGTTACTAATGGTGGAGAAAGGGTTATAGCAGTAAGTATTAGTTATGACGCTTCACTTTGCTGTATGTCATTTCACTATGCTATTTGTCTTAGACAAATAAATCCTTTGTAAGGTATAGAGGAAGAAATAATTTTGTCTTAAATGAGGACAGTGAATTAATGCTGGTATAATTTTATTTCTTTCAAATAACAAGTTGAGGCATATTGTATTTAACTTGGAATAATTTTTGTAGTGACATTTTCAGATATTAGAAAAACAACCTAACAGCAGCCCCATTCCTTGTATTTGCCTGTTTAGATGTAAACATGTATTAAGCACTTTTTAATATGTTGACAACTATTCTGAGTGCTTTTGACATGCTTTAACTCATTTAATTCTAAGTAACCCTTTGAGGTAAATATTGTTACTGGCCCAAGTCTGTTGATGAGGTGTTAAGTGAGGTGTAGTTAAGTAAGTTGCCCTGGTCATCCAGCTAGCAAATGGCAGAATTAGAGTCCAGACTTCCATATTGTTCCACATTTAATGGACTTTTCATCTATCCATCCATTTATCCATTAGTTCATTCTATACTTATTTATTGAGCTTCTATTTTGTGTCAGACACTCCTTGAGGCTGCAGTAGTCAGCATAGCCGAGGCTCTGTTGTGATAATTCAAGCAGTCAAATAAGCAAATGCAAAGTCCTAAATTTTCTGTGGCTTATCACATACAGATTTTTTTCTTATTTTGTGGCAAAATCTGCTTTTTGAGATAATGACACTCCTGGGCAACTTGTTTCAAGTGATGATTAAAAGATCCGTGGAAAGTGGTGACCTTTTGAGGTCCCACTATCTCAATTTATGGTCTCAGGAAGGGAAGGGAAGGATAAAAGGTGGAAGTTTTTACTGTCTTAGACCAGAGTGATGTTGGTTCTATTTACAGCTCATTTATTGTATTATGTCCCCTCCTAGCTTCGAGGGGGCAGGGAAATAGTATTCTGTGTATCCAGAAAGGTCTGAAAAACTAGGTATTGGTAAATACTAATTATGTTTATCATCCTCGCCACACTATAATCTTGCATATCTTGGTTATTTGTGTAAACTGTATGAAAGTGAGCACTTGGGTTGGGTATGGTGGCTCACACCTGTAATCCCAGCACTTTGGGAGGCTGAGTTGGGCAGATTCCAAGGTCAGGAGTTTGAGACCAGGCTGACCAACATGGTGAAACCCCATCTCTACAAAAAATACAAAAATTAGCCAGGCATGGTGACGCACATCTGTAATCCGAACTACTCAGGAGGCTGAGGCAGGGGAATTGCTTTAACCCGGGAGGTGGAGGTTGCAGTGAGCTAACATTGTGCCAGTGCACTCCAGCCTGCCTGGGCAACAGAGCAAGACTTCTTGCAAAGAAAAAAGAAAAAAAAAAAAAAAAAAAAGAAAGTGAGCACTTGGTCAAAATTATGCAGCTTGGTCTTGCCATGTTGCCTAGTGGGCACTCAGATGAGGGAAGTGAGGGAAGAAATCTAGAAATTAAAGTGAAACACAACATAATCAAACATGTTATGTTGTTCATTTTGATAATGAATTTGCCTTAAAATATATTCATTTCATATACAATATGTAAATCTTGCTATAACCACACAGCTATGTAGTTGTCACAGGGATCCTATGACTCAAAAAGTAAAAACTATTTAACATCTATCTTACTGGCTACAGAAAAATTTGCTGACCCCTGAACCAGAATATAGTGATTATGTAGTTCTTTTTGTCTTAAAAAAAAAAAATATATATATATATATATATTCATTTCAAACTGTCTTCTAAAACAAACTGTTAAAAGATTTTAGGGTCAAAAATAAACTAATGAAGAAGTACTTTGGAAAAGAAATATTTTGCAGTTATAGCAATCTCTGTGAATTTTATTTTTAGCATTTAATATATACTGCAGTATGTGATTGTGATTTAACCCAACAAAGTAGTAGTTTCTTTTTCTTTAAATGAAGTCAACTTACTTGTTTATATGGCACCAGCTCTTAAGCCAGTTTGTAGATATAGAGCAGCGGATGCAGTGCGGTGCCTGTGCCTTTCCTTCCGTTTATTATCCATCTACCTAGCCTACCACCCCTTTATTCTCTCTGCAGGACCTAGTAAGGAGAACAGTTGGAGTATTATTGCCCACAGTTCACAAATAAGGAGTCTAAGGCACAGTAGAGCAAAATACAGGCATGGTATGAGTCAGGTCTTCTAGTTTATGCTCTGCATCCCCACCCTGTGTACCTATCAGTAGCACTCTCTAATATATGCTATGATGATTATTCCAAAATCTATAAAAGTAGAGTGAGGTAGAAGTTACTCATACATATTGGACATGTTAGTTCATATCTGTAGGAATTTAGCTATGTTTATCTCTGATTTAGGTCATATCCAGCTTGTAGTTTTATATGCAAGATGTTTCAGGGCAGATCTTAGTTCGAAGAAGTTTCTCTCTCATCTAAAATAAGCATGATGTCTTCAACTTTTTTTTTTTTTTTTTTTTTTTTTTTGAGACAGTCTTGCTCAGCTGCCCAGGCTGGAGTACAGTGTGCGATCATGGATCACTGAAGCCACTGTCTCTCAGGTTCAAGCGATTCTTCCGTCTCAGCCTCCCGAGGAGCTGGGGTTACAGGCACCCACCATCATGCCCGGCTAATTTTTGTGTTTATTCGAGACGGGTTTTCGTCATATTGGCCAGGCTGGTCTTGAACTCATGATCTCGGGTGATCCACCCTCCTCGGCCTCCCAAAGTACTAGGATTACAGGTGTGAGCCACTATACCCAGCCAAGTCTGCAGCTTATTTTCTATTGATTCAGTGAAATAAAGTATGTGTGTCTAGATACATATACCTGCACATACATAGAGATAAAGCAGACCTGGCAAAATGTTAATAACTGGTCTACCCAGATGATAACTCATGTTTCAATGTACAGTCATTTCAACTTTTCTGTAGCTGTGAAATTTGTCAAAATAGTGTTGAGGGAAAAAAGAAAAGTTGATGTGTGTAGAGGGCATAAGGAGAGGTAACGTAGGTAAGCAGTGAAAGTCCCTTCTGGTGTGGTGTAATCAAGTGTTTATTTGTGACTGAGTGGGCAAGCGAGTGGGAAGTTACATACCAGGGAACCTTTTTTTACCTTAGCTTCTTTGAATTTTCCTGTGTTTTTCCTTTGCACCTTGCCAAAGCATTGGAATCTCCTCTGCTATTTATGGTCCTTCTGGCCTGAGGCTTCAGTATTGAAGTCTTTTTAAAGAAAATTGCCTGTGCACTGACAAAATAAGTGGGAAAAAGTATTGAATTGCAAATTGAATGCTCTGCTGTATGATTAACTTCTTGAAATGCTGCAAGTGTGTTTTAATTATGTTCGTGGCTGTGTCTTGCAGCTAAACTTACAATCATTCTGCATAGCCTTCCCTCACCTCAAAGTAATTTGAGGTTATAGGATTAGTTCCTTTCGTCAGGTGGCAGATATTGTTCTCATTGAACCTCCTCTTATTGTTTGTTTAAGGTTGCTGTTGTCTTGGTGTAGGTATTGACTGAAAAATGCTGCTGACACATAGATTGTAGTCTCTCACAAGGCAGCTGGGTTGTAAAACAGACTGTGCAAAATTCAGTAAGTGCAGTGACCAAAGTTTCCGAATTGATGTTAGTGTCATCTGTGTGAGATAGTTTTATTTATTCATTTGTTCAACATTTAATTACTGCTCCAGTTATTAGGAATATGAAAATACTGATAACAGCCCTCAAGGCATTTGCTGCATGTTGGCAGAACAGCTGTGTCCACAAATAAGCGCAATAAGCTGTAACAAGTACCAGATTAGAATTTAGTAGCTGGGACAAAGGAAAGACCCAGGCTGTGGAGTCAGAAGGCTGGTGTTTGAATTCCACCTTATCACTTACCACTGTCTATTAAGGCTTTTGCCAGGATTTAGTTGAGGTAATATGTAAAGACATTTGATAAACTGTAAGATGATCTACAGTGTTAATTATTTATTGTTGTCTGTATTTTTAAGATCAGAATTTTGGAAAACTGTATAAGAATGAACAAAAGTTAGCTGGGCGTGGTAGCTTATGCCTGTAATCCCAGCAGTTTGGGAGGCCGAGGCGGGTGGATCATGAGGTCAAGAGATCGAAACCATCCGGCAAACATGGTGAAACCCCGTCACTACTAAAGAATACAAAAATTAGCTGGGCGTGGTGCCGTGCGCCTGTAGTCCCAGCTGCTTGGGAGGCTGAGGCAGGAGAATTGTTTGAATCTGGGAGGCATAGGTGGCAGTGAGCCGAGATTGTGCCGCTGCAATCCAACCTGGTGCCTGGCAACAGAGCAAGACTCTGTTTCAAAAAAAAAAAAGAATGAACAAAAGTTGACTGAATTTTTATTATTGCTGCTGCTAGTGCTGCTTTTTCATTATAGAATGTTGTTGTGGAAAGAACATAGACTTTTTGAAATCCTGTTTCCATGAGAAATCCTATTTCCCTGAAAAAAAATAGAAGTAATCAGAGGGAATACTTCCACAGGATCCCACCACCCGCTGGCAGCTGTGTCTCTGTATTGTAATTTACCTGTTATCAGACAGAGGAACTGTCCTTGCTCCAGCTAAGGCCTGCCCCTGTGTTTATCCACTGGATCTCCCACTCTTGTTTATTGAAGGATATTCTTCTTACATGAGAAATTTTGTTATCTCTTAGGTTTATCGGCATGTAACATGCTGTTATTTTTCCCCTCACAAAATCTCTTCAGACTCTACTTTGCCCTCTAGCTACCATCCCATTTCATTTCCTTCCTTTAAAATATTCAAGAGTTGTCTGTACTTGTTTCCAATTCCTCTCCTTCCATTCTGTCTTGAATTCACTTGAATGGAGATTTACCTCCATCATTTCATGGAAACTATTCTTACTGATGTTATCAATGTCTTCCAGCGTTTTACGAGTTTGCTTTCTTGGTATTCTTTGATTTCTACTACATCAGCTTATTCTGCTTTCCTCTTTCCTTTTTTAGTTGTTTTATTTCTGCTTTGTCACATGCATAGTATTTGTACATTGGTTTCTGCTTGTGTTCCCAGCTTAGTTTAGTCTTAGACATCTATTTATGTATTTTAAAATGCTTACTCAGCTCTTTTGCTGAAGTTTTCCCAGTTGTCTTATGGTTGGATGAAGTTACTTTCTAATATGTTTTGAGAAGGGCTCAAAGGTGATGAGTTTCTTAAGTCTTTGTATTTTATGTTCAAAACTGTTTTGCTGTAACTTGGTATTTGAGGGAAAACTTGTCTGGATATAAAATCCTTGGTTCACCTTTTCTTTAAACTTTTAAAAAATGCTGCTCTTGTTTTGCTTTGTATGGGATTTGAAAAGTCTGCTGCAATCAAATTATTTACCCCTCATATGTTATTAGTCATTTTTTCTTGGAGGTCCTTATTTTCTTTATCTTTGAAATCTAATAGCTTCCTAGGATGTTGGAGTTGATCATTCTAAATTTAAATTTCCTGGATATCCATTGATTCTTTTAGTGTCTCGATTCAAATTTTTTTCTACTTTCTAATTCTGAAAAGTTTTCTTGGATTATAATTTTAAATATTCTGTGCTTCGGTTTTGTTTATCTTCTAAAGATTCTCTGCTAATCCAAATGTTACTGCTTTTTACTATATTCTCTTTCCAGTATTTTTTTATTCTTTTTACCTCTTCCTTTATCTCATTTCCTTTTCACATCTTGTTTTCATTTTTTTTCGTGTCTTCCTTTAAAGCCCCTTATTAAATTATCCTTTGAGTACCTTGTAATTTATTCTTTATTTTTTAGATAATTTTGTCTTTTTGTTATATTTATTTCCTGAATTTATTGAGCTTTTTATTATTAACTGTTTTTCACTTTTCTAGTCCAGTTCTATTCTCAGTTAACTGAATTTTTGATTTAAGGTAGTTTTTCAAGTTGTCCACATTCTCAGATGCTTGTTTGACCATTTTTAATTCCTTTTGGAGTGCTGTGTTAAAGTTTTCTTTTGCTTAATGGTTGTTTTTTCAGCCGTAATTTCTCTTTGTTGATGTGTTGACTTTTATCTTCTCATGTCTGCAAAGTATTTGTGAATTGGTTTCTTGTTCATTTTTATGGTATTGGAATACTTTACAAGATTTGTAGGTTAATGGTGCCCTCTTTTGTCAGTAAAGTTCAAACACCTTAGATTTCTGTGGTTTTGTTTTGGTGGCAGGAGGGGGCGTGGCTCCTCTGATGTTGTGGTTGTCTGTTGTCTTGCTGCACACTGCATTTCCCCCTTTGCTTCTTTTCCCCTTTACCACCCCTTTGGCAAAAGGTGCTTCTTCCTTTTTGACCTTTTTCTCCCTCTGAAGCTCTGTTGTTTGGAAGCCTGCCCCTTCACAGCATGCCCACACTGGGGTCCCTTCCCGGCAGCCCATGTCTGATCAACCTGGATGCTTCTATAGTATTTTCCCTCAGAGTGGACTTAGTCTTTTTGGTGGTGGTTTTGGTTTTAGATGGACCTTAGACATTTTTGCCAGCTCCCCTCTGACCTCTCTAGGTATCTTTGAATTTGCTTTTGCTCACCACTGCACCTTGTGGCAGGTCACTATGGGGGTGAGTGGGACATAGGGTTTGGCAGGAGCAATGGAGATGACACACTGGGATTTGGTGATTTCTCTCCTTTTGCTTACAGTTATTTTAAAGTTTGAGTTGTTCTCTATCTTCAGGCTAGGCTGAGAGGATGGTTTCTGTGTAGATTTATCTCCCTTTCTTGTTCTTGATTTTTTTTGGAGGAAATATTTGGAGATGTGTATCAAGGCCATCCCTCATGTTTTCAACTCAGAAGTTCTGGCTATTGTGAACATTCATGTACTAATATTTGTTTGAACACTTGATTATTTCAATTCTTTTGTGTATAGATCTAGGATAGAATTGCTGGGTCATGTGCTATTTTATGTTTAAGATTTTGAGGAACCACCGAACTTTTTCCACAGTGGCTGTACAGTTTCATGTTTCCATCAATAGCGTATGAAGGTTCCAAATTCTCTACATCCTCAACTGTGCTTATTTTCCATTTGAAAAAAATACAGTCATCTGCCTTCCTTGCTTTTGTAGGTATAATTTCTAAGTCTAAAGGCAAAAATTGTCATGTGTTGTATTAAATTATTTTATACACTGATTTCTAAAGATGAAGTCTTTTTCTGGTGTTTTTCAAGCATAGAATCAGTTGTTAATGGATGAAATTTCTTTGGAAGTTTCGGCTTTTTTCCATACTGATGTTAGGATATTTGGTAACCTTAGGCAGCCTTATTTGAGAAGAGCTTGCAGTGGATTCTGATTTGCATAAATTATACTAGATATATATTTTAAAAAGCATTTGCTCATGGATATATTTTATACGATTGTACCACTTGGTGGATTTTTTTTTTAACAGAATCTCACCACAATCCTTGACACCTTATTGGTGATTTTCTTTAATCATTTAAAAAATACTAGATTTGCTGTAATTTTTATTTCATTATAAAAGTACATTTTACAATGATAAGTCGATAAGTCATTTCATTAACCTTTCTTCGCATGATGCATTTATTTCCCAGGTACCAAAGACACTTGGATTATTAAGGATGTTAAGTGTCAAGTTTTACAGTCGCCAGGGACAAGAACAGGTAACGTAAACTGGCTTAACTCTGGTGGGCTTCTCAAACATTTTTACCCAGAAGTACCTTCAAGGTTAAAGCTGAATGAACGTCAAATTTTTTGTATCTTCATTTGAATGTATTCATAATTATACACTATGTAAGCATATGCATTAGTTAGAATTCATAGAGCTGTTGCTGAAGATTTGTATATTTTACTGGGTATCAACCTTATCTCAAAAAAAAAATTATGGAGAATGTACCCAACTCTCTTGGGGTCTGGGAATATAGCTCAAGGAATTCTCCTAGATGCATTATATATCTTTGGATTTCCTATTTTATCTTTACAAATCTTGTGAATTTTGCACTGTCGTTCATAATATATCCTTTTTTGGCTTAATAGTAAAAAAAAAAAAAAAAAAAAAAAAAAGCTTCTTTCCCAAATCTGAGATTGCTGATGCTCCAAGAAGAAATGTGCCTCATTGACCCTGGGTTTTAAATACCATCGTGTTACTGTTTTGTTACTTAGCAGAAGCGTGGATCCATGGCAAGGATGTTAGACCGTTTCATCCAGATGAGTGTCAGTGATACACTTAGGAATTGCCTCTGCGAGGTGGTTACATTTGTTTCTCTGTGTGACTTTCAGAAGAGTCTTGACCTATACTGGGGAATCAAATCATACTCCTGTGTCTTGGAGGAAAATCAAATAATCTAATCTTTTTCACTGCTTCACTTTCTTTCCCTGTAGAACTTGCTGATATGAAAAGTCAGACCTCTATATCTGCAGATTCTATATCCCTCAAATGCTGTATTTTCAATCCATAGTTGGTTGAATCAGAGGATGTGGAACCCGTGGATGTGGAGGCCTTGACTGTACTGTACTATTTATCATTGTTTTAGAGAGTACTCCTTTTACTTATTAAAAAAAAGTGTTAACCATAAAACAGCCTTGGGCAGGTCCTTCAGCAGGCCTTCCAGGGGAAGCATTCTTATCATAGGTGATTACAACTCCATGAGTGTTATTGTCCCTCAGCACCTTCCAGTGGGACAAGATGTGGAGGTAGAAGATGGTGTTGATGATCCTGACCCTGGGTCGGCCTGGGCTAATGTGTCTGTTTGTGTGTTAGTTTTTTAAAAAAATATTTAAAAAGTGAAAGAATGAAGTGCAAAAGTTTATAGTACAAGAATGTAAAGAAATTCTTTTTTGTACAGATGTACGTACAATGTATTTGTGTTTTTAGCTGACGTTATCACAAAAGTCAAAAAGGTAAACAAAAGTTTATAAAATAAAAACGTTATAGTAAGATAAGGCTAATTTATTCTTGAAGAAAGAAAATATTTAAAAATAAATGTAGTATAGCCTGAGTGATGGTGTTTATACTCTGCAGTCATGTGCAGTAATGTCCTAGCCCTTCACATTCACTCGCCACTCACTCACTGACTCACCCAAAGCAACTTCTAGTTCTGCAGCCTCCATTCATGGTGAATACCCTTATACAGGTGTTCCATTTTTTATCTTTTACACCATATTTTTACTGTACCTTTTCTGTGTTGAGATACACAAGTACTTACCATTGTGTTCCAGTTGTCCACAGTATTCAGCAGAGCAACATGCTGAGCAGGTTCGTAGCCTAGGAACAATAGGCTATACCATCCAGCCTAGGTGCGTAGTAGGCTACACCGTCTAGGTTTGTGTAAGTACACTCTATGTATGATGTTTTCACAATGACAGAATCACCTAATGACGCATTTTGCAGAACATCTCCCTGCTGTTAAGTGATGCATGACTGTACTATAATTTTAGAGCTGAAAGAGCTCATAGGGCTTACCTAATAATTTCTTATTACTGTAACACTTTGACAAGTGTTTTCTCAGATCTTACAGGAGGTTTGCATTACCTACGCTGGCATTATGATGCCTACTTTTTATTGATGAAGGGATTAAGGCCTCACGATAAATGTGCGCCTAAACTCACTTATCTAGACAGTGTCAGAGATGTGTTGGGTCTTCTGTTGGTTTGTGATCCAGTGCTTGTTTTCACCACTTCTAGTTGGTTATTGTCTTAAGCCTTTAGTTGATAATTTGGAAGAAACAGAAACTAAGATGAGTTTTAAAGTAGCAGAGATGATAAATTACTTATTGTCTTAGAAAGAATCACCTATTTTACTACTCAAGTTTGGCAACAATTATGTTTCTCTTCAAATGTGGTCCTCTTGGCCTGGTGTCGTGGCTTAGCCTGTTATCCCAGCTCTTTGGGAGGCTGAGGTGGGAGGATTACTTGAGCCCAGGAGGTTGAGGATGCAGTGAGCCACGATCGTGCCACTGCACTGCAACCTGCAGGACAGAGTGAGACCCTGTCTCAAAAAAAAAGAATGTTCCTCTGAACTACTAATATCTTTACAAAATGAATCTGCTTTCCTGTATAACCATATGATGAATATTTAGTTCATTTAAATAACTTGTGAGACTATAAAGTAGAAACACTGGGATTGTACAGTATTAGAGGTACTAACGTAAAATAGCTAACAGTGATTGTCATATTGCAGACACTTAGTAAATAATAATGGTGATGACTGTTAGCTGTCTGTTAATTTCTTTGTCCTGAATTATAGAATTAATAATTAGTAGTCCACATGTTCTTTTTGGATTGTGATTTATTATGCCCAAAACTTATGTGGCTTTAAGTAATAACTTCTTGTTGTCTGGCATATATTATCTTTTAAGAGAGTATATTAAAAATAAGAATTATTTATATTCTTTTATAAAGGGTATTGGCTTGGAATTTTTTTATTTTTCAAATGACTTTCTTCTTTCCTTCATGCATTTGCAGTGTTTTTGTCACAGGCTGTTTAATCAGGCTTTTGAGGCTGACTTTATTTTGATTTGAAGGATAGATTTCTAATTTTGTGTGTGTGTGTGTGTGTGTGTGTGTGTGTGTGTGTGTGTGTGTGAGTGTGTGTGTGTGTGTATGTGTGTATGTTTATTAGACTTCTAAAACATAGTGGGATAGAATATGTAGTAAACTTCTTGAGGGTGGGAATTTGTGTTTGTTTGGTTCATTGCTGACTTCTACAGTGTACAACAATGCCTGACACCTAATATTGTTGAATTTGTAATATTCAATAAGTACTTGTGGACTGTTGAAAGAGCAGCTCTTAGAAATTTTTTTTTTTATGGATCTGAGTATTTTTTCTTTAAGAATATGTAGTACTTCAGAATGTATGCACAAGAAAACAGTACTCTTTTAAATACAGACTATATACTTGAAAGTTACAGGAAATTGGAAATCACTCATTTTTAATTCTGTTAAATTAGATGACAGGTGATTAATTTCAGTACAAAGTTCTGATGTTTAACACTTTAAAAAACCCTGTCTTGGAAAGGACAGTTAGGAAGTTTTATAGCAATGTTTGAGAGGAAGTACAACTCATTCTTCAAATACTGCTGCCAGTAGTAGAAGACTTTAATAGCGTTTTTAATTAGGAAAGAACAAATAGATATTGGAGCTAGTGGAATAGAGTGGATAATGGATATTGGAGCTAGTGGAATAGAGTGGATTGCAGCAGATACAAGTGATATTCACTCTTTGCTATAAAGCCGTATTTCTTGACAATTTATTTGTGTTCATATTTTAACAATTTATACAGTTTTTCTTAATAAAACATCACTATGCCTTCTCAGTAAAAATATTTTCAAATAGTCTCATTTTACTTTTTTTTAAATTTGATTTAACTTTTATTATAAGTTCAGGGGTACATGTGCAGGTTTGTTGTAAAGGTAAACTTGTGTCATGGGGATTTATTGTATAGATCATTTCATCACCCAACTATTAAGCCTAGTCTCATTTATTTTTCCTTATCCTCTCCTTCCTCCCACCCTCCACTTTTTCGTAGGCCCCAGTATGTGTTGCTTTCCTCTGTGTGTCCATATGTTCTCATCATTTAGCTCCTACTTACAAGTAAGAACATGCGGTATTTGATTTTCTGTTCCTGCGTTAGTTTTCTAAGGATAATGGCCTCCAGCTCTATCCATGTTGCTGAAAAAGACATAATGTTGTTGTTCTTTTTTATGGCTGGATAGTATTCCATGTATGTACCACATTTTCTGTATCCAGCCAATCATTGATGGGCATTTAGGTTTATTCCATGTCTTTGCTATTGTGATTAGTGCTGCAGTGAACATATGTGTGCACGTGTCTTTATGACAGAAAGATGTATATTTCCCTGGCTTTATACGCAATGTACTAGTCCGTTCTCACACTACTATAATGAACTACCACAGTGGCTTATGCCTATAATCCCAGCACTTGGGAGGCTGAGGCAGGCGGATCACTTGAGGTCAGGAGTTTGAGACCAGACTGGCCAACATGGTAAAACTCCATTTTTTACTAAAAATACAAAAATTAGTTGGGTATGGTAGTGCACACTTGTCATCCCGGCTACTTGTGAGGCTGGAGTGGGAGGATCCCTTGAACCCAGAGGGTAGAGGTTAAAGTGAGCCAAGAATTGCACCACTGTTCTACAGCCTGGGGGATTGGGGGAAACACTCTTTCTAAAAAAAAAAAAAAGTACTTAACTACCTGAACTGGGTAATTTATGAAGAAAAGAGTAACAGGAAGCATGACTGGGAGGCCTCAGGAAACTTACAGTCATGGAGAAAGGTGAAGAGGAAGGAAACACATCTTTACCATGGCAGAGCAGGAGAGAGAGAGCGCAAATGGGGAAGTGCCACACACGTTTAAACCATCAGATCTTGTGAGAACTCACTATCACGAGAACACCAAGGGGAAATCTTCCCCTGTGATTCAGTTACCTCCCATCAGGCCCCTCCTCCAGTTCGACATGAAATTTGGGTGGGGACACAGATCCAGACCATATCACCCAGTAAAGGGATTACTGGGTCGAATGGTATTTCCGTTTTTAGGTCTTTGAGGAATTGCCACACTGTCTTCCACAATGTTTGAACTAATTTACGTTCCCACTAGCAGTATGTAAGCGTTCCTTTTTCTCCACCACCTTGCCAGCGTCTGTTATTTTTTGAATAGTCCCATTTTAAATGTTTATATGTGAGGCACTGTGTGTATGTATAAATATTTTTATTATTGGGACAAATATATATATTTTAATTATCTTTAAAACCTTACAACCCAAAAGGCGTAGTAGTATTATCCAGATTTTATAGATTAGAATCAGATTAGAAAAATTAAGTAAGGTTTTAGAGTGAGTGGCATAGCTGGGATTTCAACCTTGGTGTGTAGAACTCCAGCATCTGTGGTAGTTTGGTGCTGTATTGCTGCCATGTTCTCTTATGGGCCCTCCAGAGAAGAAAGTTGAAATAACTTAGTGGAGAATGGGTGAGTTACTTTCCTTTGCTGTATACCCCTACGTGTACTTTATACACTCGGCAAATGTTTTTGCTGATCACCCATTTTGCAGGCAGATTAGTTACAGAGAATAAAGCTATAGTATATTTAGGGGGAAAAGTTGTAAAATTTTAGTTGTTAGAAAAGCTTTTAAAAACATATGTCCTTTTAGAATTGGTTCTCAGTTATTATAGATGACATAGAAGTGCACTATGGTAAAATACAAGGAGATTTTCACTAATTTTTTTTATCATTAAAAGTAATTTTAATACCTACTCATAGGTGTTACTAAGTGCAAATTAAATGTGTGTTCTTTGCACTTTTGGGATGCTATAAACATCAATATATTTCATACTTCTTAATGTATAAAATAGGAGTATTTTCAGATTTTCAATACCTTTCAGATCCCAAGAAGTCCTAAGCTGGCATCTATAGCCCAGTTCTCCTCTGCGCTTCAGATTTGTATACCCTGCTGCTTTGCTTGACAGCTTCAGTAGGGTAGCCTTCAGGCATTTTAAATCAAACATTTCCAAAACAAAACTCTGATAACTTCTCATCTTTCTTTTCCTAACCATTTCTGCCTTTGACTTGATTGCCTCAGTAATCCATGCTTTTCCCAAAGGGAGATACCTGAAAATTATTGCTGGTACCACCGTGTCCTTCATCCTCTCATCTAATCTAATCTAACACCTTTGCTGCCAGTATCATCTTCAGAGTGTAATTGGAATCTTTCTACTTCTTTTTTCTTCTACGGCTATCACCATCTTGTAATTTTTCATCTCTCCTGCCTTAGCAGATACTTAATCAGTTTGCTTAGCATCCTTAGTGACTTAAAAAATGTAAGCCAGATATGCTTACTTTCTTGCTTAAAGAAAGCCTTCAATGGCTTTCTGTTGAACTAAGAATGATGACAGACTAAAATTCTTAACATTATCCAAAAAGACATTTCATAAGCTGGCCCATGACTGTCTCTGCAGACTGACCTCATGCCACTGGCTCATTTTCTTTTAGTTATGTCGGCCTTATCTTAGCTCTTCAAGGGTGACACGTTCTTTTCTTTGTGGACTCCATTTTTTTCTATTGGGAATGGTGTTCTCTTATTTGTTCTCATTGCTTAATTTCTTTTCATCTATGGGCATCAGCTCTGTCTTCATATTCTCAGACTTACAGTCCTTCAGTTTAAATACAGTTCACACACACACACACACACACACACACACACACTCTTGCACTCACTCAATCACAGTATTTTTTTCTCATTAGCCAAAAAGTAGAACAACAACTGTGAGTGTTGTTTCTACTTTTTGGCTACTATAAATAACACTGCTGTGAGTTTGTTTGCAAGTTCTTTTGTGGAAATATCTTTTAATTTTTCTTGGAGTGGAAGTCCTGAATCCTATGATTATGTTTTGCCATTCAAGGAGTTGTCAGACAGTTTTCCAAGGTGACAGCACCATTTTTTGTTGCTAATATCAGAGTATGGCGTTTCCAATTTCTCCCCACCCTTGCCAACACTTGTTTTTATCTGTCTTTTATTCTGATATTCCTACTGGGTACAAAGTGGTTCTTATTTGACATTGAAAAGTCACATAACCTTGTAACCATTATCCAGGGCAGAAACAGGACTCTGCCAGCTACCTTCCATGAACCCTGTCACAAACACAGTTTCCACCCTCCTTCCACAAGCAGCCATTATTCTGGCTTAGATTTATTTTTTTAATTTATACTTTTATTATGTAATTATTTATCTCTAGCACTCTGGCTTTTTTAAAAAATATATATTTTAGGTCTCTTTTTATCTATCTGCTAGTCCCTCCTTCATATCATCTTTTTTCTCTTATAAACTATTTGTTGGCTGGGTGTGGTGGCTCACGCCTCTAATTCCAACACTGTGGAAAGCTGAGGCAGGCGGATCACAAGATCAAGAGATGGAGACCATCTGGGCCAACATGGTGAAACCCTGTTTCAAGTAAAAATAGAAAAATTATCTAGGTGTGGTGGCGTGTGCCTGTAGTCCCAACTACTTGGAGGCTGAGGCAGGAGAATCACTTGTACCCAGGAGGAGGAACTTTCAGTGAGCCAGGATCGCACCACTGCACTCCAGCCCGGCGACAGGGCGAGACTCCATCTCAAAAAAAAAAAGGTTATTTTGTTGAAGAAAGTTTTTTTATTTTACTCATTGCATCTTTATAGTGGTGGTTGCTTTATTCTTCTGTCCTTTTGTGTTCATGTGTTCTTATATATTAGCAGTTGGATTTAAAGGTCATGTAGATTTATATTTTTATTTTTAGTTTTTGCTTTTTTAGGCAGACAACTGTATAGGTGGTAGTGTTCTCTTTTATCAAGAAGATCATAATATCTTTTTGATGATATCAGTGTGGGACTTGCCCTGTACAAGTGGATGCAGGCCGGTTGGTTTTGAGAGCTTATAGAACGCCGATTAATCCAGAATCTCTTTTTACTCTCCCACTATTGGAGTGTGCATAACTCTCCCCAGTTTCTGTTTACGTAAACAGTACTTATCAAGTGCCTGGTCAGCATTTTGGCAAGAGACTACTCAACATTTTCTGTGCAATGCATTGAGGAAATTGCCTATTGTGAATGCCAAGAGATGTTCCCTGCGTGTTAGGAGAATTACTTGTATTGCTGCCACAGAGTCTTGTCAGGTCATCTGCGGCATGCCACATGAGTGTCTGGGCTTTGGCTGTCTCCTCGGCAAAATGAAACAAGAGTGTTAAAAATATAGAGTTAAAGTGGAAGATTACAAGTGGAGGTGCATATCAGAGATACCTGGGAGTTTTTTTCAAGGAACACATGCCATGTTTTTCCAGCCTAGATTTCTATTTATCCTAAGTGCTGGTAGTGGAGCAGGTGTCCATGCGATTCTGATACCCTCCTTTCTTGGGAACATCACTCTTTGTTGTCTTATTTCAGCTCTTGTATTTTAGCATTTATATAATGTGGATGGAGTTTCTATACTCAGAGAGCATATAAAGTGGTTAGTGAGGCTAGGTAAAGTACTAGGTAGAAGTTAGAAGAAATAAATATCAATAAATGCCCCTAATATAAAAGGTCTTACTAAGGTTCAAGTTAAGAGTGGCAAATGAATGAGACATGTTATTGGAATTCACGACTAAGCTGTGTTATTATGGATTCAGGTAGAATCCAATCATCGTACTAACATCTATGTTTAGAAAGCTGAGTCATATGGTAAGTGCATTAAATGACTTTACATACACCCTAATTTTATCCTTGTGGTAATATTATAATGTGTAGATGTTGTTATTTTTATTTCAAAAAGAGAGAAAGTCTCTGTTACTTATGATAGTTAACTAATGTGCCTAAGGTCACATAACTACTAGTGGTAGAGCCAAATTGAATGTTCTTGACCAACATTTCAGCTGTTGACGTGATGATTAAAATACAAACAACATTCATAGCTGAGGAATGTGAAAGAAGTTTAAGACTTAATTTAACCAAAGTGAATACTGTGGCTGGTCATGGTGGTTCATGCCTTTAACCCCAGCATCTGGGGCGGCTGAAGTAGGTGGCTCACCTGAGGTCAGGAGTTCAAGACCAGCTTGACCAACATGGTAAAACTCCATCTCTACTAAAAATACAAAAATCAGCCTGGCGTGGTGGCAGATGCTGTAATCCCAGCTACTTGGGAGGCTGAGGCTGCAGAATCCTCGAAGCCTTGAGGCGGATGTTGCTGTGAGCTATGATCATGCCACTGCACTCCAGCATGGGTGACAGAAAGACGTCTCCAAAAAAAAAAAGAGAAAATTGCATTTACATCTAAATTTTATTGCTTTTACAACTGCTTAATTCAAATGAAGAAAACAAGATTACTATTTATTTGTGCTGAGCAATCTTAATACAGTATGAAGAATCATGGTTTAAATGTTTGAGGTTCACCTTTTTTTTTTTTTTTTGACCCGGAGTCTTGCTCTGTTACCCAGCCTAGAGTACAATGGCGCAATCTTGGTTCAGGGCAACCTCCACTTCCTAGGTTCAAGCCATTCTCCTGCCTAAGCCTCCCAGGTAGCTGGGACTACAGGCACCCGCCATCATGCCTGGCCAATTTTTGTATTTTTGTAGAGACGAGATTTCACCATGTTGGCCAGGCTGGTATTGAACTCCTGACCTCAGATGATCCACCCTGCCTTGACCTCCCAAAGTGCTGGGATTACAGGCATGAGTCACTAGGTCCAGCCGAGGTTTACTTTTATTGTGATATAGAGTTGCTTGAAAAGCCACATCTTCCCATTTCCAAGGCATAAACTCTGGTATTCTCTCCTTTGCCCATTATATTAGTCAGTTTTCTCACTGCTATAAAGAACTACCTGAGACTGGGTAATTTATAAAGAAAAGAGGTTTAATTGACTCGGAGTTCCACATGGCTGGGGAGGCCTCAGGAAATTTACAATCATGGTGGAAGACAAAGGGGAAACAAGGCATGTCTTAATGGCAGTAGGAAGAGACAGAAGAAGGGTGGAACTGCTGCGCACTTTTAAACCATCAGATCTCAGAGAGCTCACTAGCATGTGAACAGCATGGGGAAAATCTGCCCCCTTGATCCAGTCACCTCCCACT